TATTCGTTTTGGATCATTTCACCAACCCGAATCACCGAAACCGAAAACTTGACCCGAATCCATTATGATTTTAGTTCTCATTTCTCAACAACACTCAAAAGAAACACTCGAAAATCATTTCTCTCTAATCCTGTGAAACCCTAATTCCTTTCTCTGTCAATTTTCTCCGGTGAACAAAAATGGCGGAATGTCCGACGGATATCATCAACGAGTTGTTCCTCCGTCTCAGAGCAACTACGCTTGTAAAGTGTCGCGCCGTCTCGAAGCCTTGCTTCTCTTTGATCGACAGTCCCGAGTTCATCTCCTCTCATCTCCGTCGCAGACTCGAAACAGGAGAACATCTCATGATCTTACTCCGAGGACCTCGTCTTCTACGTACGGTGGAGCTCGACTCGCCGGAGAACGTCTCCGACATCCCTCATCCTTTACAAGCCGGAGGTTTTACCGAGGTTTTTGGTTCCTTTAACGGTGTCATCGGGTTATGCAACTCTCCCGTTGATATAGCGATTTTTAATCCTTCGACAAGGAAGATTCATCGGTTACCGATTGAGCCACTTGATTTCCCAGAACGTCACATCACTCGTGAGTATGTGTTTTACGGTTTGGGTTATGATTCTGTGAGCGATGACTATAAAGTGGTGAGGATGGTTCAGTCTAAGCCTAAAGGAGGTAAAAAGAATTTTGGTTGCATTGAAATCAAAGTTTTTAGCTTGAAGAAGAATTCGTGGAAGAGAGTGTGTCTTATGTTCGAGGTTCAGATTCTTTTCATTCACTACTATTACCATCTCTTGCCTCGTCGTGGTTATGGCGTTCTAGCTAACAATCATCTTCACTGGATTTTGCCTCGAAGGCAAGGAATCATCGCCTTTAATGCGATAATCAGATTTGATCTTGCTTCTGATGACCTTGGAGTCCTCAGTTTCCCACGGGCTCTTTACACTGAAGATGATATGGATATTGGTGTGTTAGATGGCTGCGTTTGTTTGATGTGTTACGACGAGTTTAGCCATGTTGATGTTTGGGTTCTGAAGGAGTATGAAGATTGGAAATCTTGGACTAAGCTGTTTAGGGTGCCGAAACCAGAGAGCGTTGAATCGGTTGACTTCATGAGACCTATGGTGTATTCCAAGGACAGGAGCAAGATTTTGCTGGAGATTAACAATGCGGCGAATCTCATGTGGTTTGATTTGGAAAGTAAGAGTCTTACAACTGTTGGAATAGAGTGTGATAGTTCATTTACCGCAGACATCCTCGTGAGTAGCCTTGTTTTGGGATGTAAAGGAGATCCTACCAAAGCTCAGCGCAGGAAAGATCAAATGATGCCGAAGAGTAACAAAAGGTGGTATGCTCATCTCTAGCCAGTGCTTTCTTACTCGTTTTGTTTCCTTGATAAATTTGTAGAAATGAGTCTTAGGTATCTTCATTCTTTGAGAAGTTAGGGTTGCTAAATGTATCAACATGCTTAAACATCTTATGTTGCAATCTCAGGGATGGTTTTCTGGCCAAGGGATTCAAGCTGAAGCTATGAGCAAAGCAGGGGAAACTTCTGAGCCCAAACATTAGATCAAGGTAATTGTAATGAATCTAATGATATCCAGTATATCCCTCAAGTTGGCATCTTCCTTTCTTTTCGATGTGTGATTTCCATCTGAACATAGATACATTATATGATACATTACTATCCCTAAAGTTGATCGTAATGAATCTATTGATATCGAGTATTTCCCTAGAGTTGGTATCTTCTTTTATTTTCGATGTGAGATTTCCAGTCCTATGATAGATACATGATTGAATGTCTTAAGAGGTGGAACTTGAGTCAACGGCATAGTTTAGCATAAACAATATAGGAGCTTCATTTAAAATCTGACTATTTCAAGTGTTTTTTGAGTTTGAAACATAAAGATGCAAATCTTGATCTGTGTTTGATTTTCAGGTACAGTAGCAGTAGCAGTCGCAAGGGGAAAGGAAATGGCAAAATCCTAAACCCATATGAGGTCGTAGTACTAATAAGCTTAACCTAAGTGCGTAGTATGTGGTAAATAAAGATATTGCTTTTCTATATGTTATCGACTAGAATCTATATGTAAAACTCTTATCAGTTTGGTCTGTTGCAATTTGATTGCGACTTAAACTGTTAATCTCAAATTTAAAGTAAAATCTGGTTGCAAATATTGTTATGACGTAAATCGTCGATAACAATTGAACAACATCGTTTAAACAACAAGAGATGTGAGACGATTTAACCAAAAAAGACCAACATAAACAAACTAAACCGAAATAATTGAATAAGACAGTAATAACCGACAAGTAAAGGACATAATTTCAGGATATGGAAGACATCTAACTCTACAAAATTCTACAGAATCATTGCTCACACAATAGGACTTTCCTTAAGGTTATATCCAATACTAGAAGCCAGAACCTTTAGTGCATTGGAATGTTATCAAATTGTCATAATAAAAAAAGCCTTCGATTTAACAAGTAAAAAAGCTCGATTATCTCAAGGAACTAAACAAGATTTCATTAAGAACAAATCAGATAAACTATTAGCTCATGAAGCTCTAATTGTCATAATTGTCAAATTGTCATAATCACCCACTCACACAAGATCACGTGGTAGGAAATCTCGAAAGTTACAAACTTTCCCTAATAAGAAACTGAGAAACACAAACAAAATCACAGAAACCATACCTCAGTGCTGAAGTAAAATCTCCGAGCTCGGAATGATTTAGGAGGCATAAAAGTAGCACCGGCCTTAAGATTCCTAGCCCTAATCACAACTTGTCTGGAAAATTCAAACACATCAAAATCCAATTCAGCTAATTCTGAAAAATCAATTTACACAAAGAAGGAGAAGAGAAGATGAGTCACCCTTCTTTGACCTTCTTCGCATCTGTAGTCGGAGAAGATCGCATGAGCTTAGAAACAAAGTAACGGAGAATTAGAATTAGAACCATCACGACGGAGAGAGGTATCAAAACCCAGTCTCTTATCGCCGTGTCAAGAACCAGATCTTCCACCATTGATAATCAATCCTCTTCTACCTCCCTTTCTCGATCCAACAAAATTATCTCTTCGTCGTCTCTGAGCTCGATCCGGTGAAGAAATTACAGACTTCGACGAGGAGCTGATTTAACCAAAATTGGACCAAAATAACCGAAATAAACCCGAAATAACCGAATACGATAGAAAATACGAACATTTTTAGCTTTAGCCGAACCGACCTTAACCCGAAACCCGAAAACGAGACCCGAATCCATTATGATTTTACAGCTAAAGAGTTCTCATTTCTTAACACTCAAAACCTCAGACTCGAAAATTCATTTCTCTCAAATCCTCTGAAACCCTAATTCCTCTCTCTCTCAATTTTCTTCGTGGAAACAAAAATGGCGGAATGTCCGATGGATCTCATCAACGAGTTGTTCCTCCGTCTCGCAGCAACTACGCTTGTACGTTGTCGCGCCGTCTCGAAGCCTTGCTTCTCTTTGATCGACAGTCCCGAGTTCATCTCATCTCATCTCCGTCGCAGACTCGAAACAGGACAACATCTCATGATCTTACTCCGAGGACCTCGTCTTCTACGTACGGTGGAGCTCGACTCGCCTGAGAACGTCACCGACATCCCTCATCCTTTACAAGCCGGAGGTTTTACAGAGGTTTTTGGTTCCTTTAACGGTGTCATCGGGTTATGCAACTCTCCTGTTGACATAGCGATTTTTAATCCTTCCACAAGGAAGATTCATCGGTTACCAATTAAGCCACTTGATTTCCCAGAACGTCACATCACTCGTGAGTATGTGTTTTACGGTTTGGGTTATGATTCTGTTAGCGATGACTTTAAAGTTGTGAGGATGCTTCAGTCTAAGCTTAAAGGAGGTAAAGAGAATTTTGGTTACCCTGTTGAAATCAAAGTTTTCAGCTTGAAGAAGAATTCGTGGAAGAGAGTGTATCTTATGTTCGAGGTTCAGATTCTTTTCATTTACTTCTATTACCATCTCTTGCCTCGTCGTGGTTATGGCGTGCTAGCTAACAATCATCTTCACTGGATTTTGCCTCGAAGGCAAGGAATCATTGCCTTTAACACGATAATCAGATTTGATCTTGCCTCGGATGACCTTGGAGTCCTCAGTTTCCCACAGGATCTTTACACTGAGGATGATATGGATGTAGGTGTGTTAGATGGTTGCGTTTGTTTGATGTGTTACGACGAGTTTAGCCATGTTGATGTTTGGGTTTTGAAGGAGTATGAAGATGTAAAATCTTGGACTAAGCTGTTTAGGGTGCCGAAACCAGAGAGTGTTGAATCGGTTGACTTCATGAGACCTCTGATCTATTCCAAGGACAGGAGCAAGATTTTACTGGAGATTAACAATGCGAAGAATCTCATGTGGTTTGATTTGGAGAGTAAGGAGCTTACAACTGTTGGAATAAAGGCGTGTGATAGTTCATTTACTGCAGACATCCTCGTGAGTAGCCTTGTTTTGGGATGTAAAGGAGATCCTACTGAAGCTCAGCGCAGGAAAGATCAAATGGTGCCGAAGAGTAACAAAAGGTTTTATGCTCATCTCTAGCCAGTGTTTTCTTACTCGTTTTGTTTCCTTGATAGAATTGTAGAAATGGATAATAAGGCAAATGTTAGTCTTAGGTCTCTTTATTCTTTGATGTGTTACGGTTGCAAATGGTTAACTGTATCAACATGCTTAAACATCTAGTGTTACAATCTCAGGGATGGTTTTCTGTCCAAGGGATTCAAGCTGAAGCTATGAGCAAAGCGGGGGGAATTTCGGAGCCTAAACATTAGATCAAGGTAAGTGTAACTGTGTAATGAATCTAATGATATCGAGTATTTCCCTCAAGTTGGCATCTTCTTTTCTTTTCGATGTGAGATTTCCATCTGAACATAGATACATTATTGGATGTCTTAGGAAGTGGAACTTGAGTAAACGCCGGTTTAACATAAACAGTTTAGGAGCTTCATATAAAATCTGACTATTTCAAGTGTTATTGATTTTGAAACATGTAGATGCAATCTTGATCTGTGTTGGATTTTCAGGTACAGTAGCAGTAGCAGTAGCAGTCGCAGGGGGAAAGGAAATGGCAAAATCCTAAACCCATATGAGGTCTTCTTAGTACTAATAAGCTTAACCTATGTACGTAGTATTTCGTACGGAAATATGGTGTTCTTCTATATGTAATCGACTGGAGTCTATATGTAAACTCTCGATCTCAAATCCTCAATCAAAAGTAAATCAGGTGCAAATATTGTTACTGAAGAGGATTTAC